GATACAGTGAGAAATCTCGGACTTTCACCTCCAGAACTAATCACACACTTCATATTCAGACAGGAACGGTGAAGGAATCAGCCATTCCTTTGTTGAAATATTAAAGAAACTGGTAGTGCCAACCATATTAAGAGAAATATAATCAAATTGCTAAAGGAAAAATATTTTTAATAAAGAAATAACCTCAAATCCAGGGGAACTATAAGATAAACAAATAATAAATTTCACAAGAATTTAGAAAAAATGTAAATATAGACATAAAATCATGATAAAAATTGAGTTTTTAATGGCATGAGAAAATATTTATGACAATGCTAGTGAAGAAAGAGAGGATAGAAAAATGTATGTGTGTCTCTCAACGAAGTAAAAATAAAATACATAGATAGGAAAATGTCCGGCAGGAATGTGAGGGCTGTTTAAGTCAGATGCACAGTAACCTTGGGCAACACTATGGGGGACTGTGTATGTCTGAGTGGCACATGTGTATGTGTGTTTAATTGTGAATTAAAAACCACTATATCTTCCGGGGTTGAGTCTAACATATAAAGAGCTTGGAACTTTAAGGATCTGTACTACTGTGAAGCAGTATAGTGTTATTTGCAAGTGGATTTGGCTTAGTCATACATGTCTATTGCAAACTCCAGGGCAAATGCTTAAAAAATAAAAACTGAAGTAAAATTGATATAGTAAGATGTAGGGTACAGCTATAGGGTTAAGCCTCAGACTGACCTGTTGGCAAAGCCACAAACAAGTCCCAGCTTAGAGGGCACAGTCCTCTTAGCATAATTAAGCTTGACCTTATGACGCTCTCTAGATCTTATCTGGGAAGCTAATGGGCTGAGGGAGATGTAGCTAGTGCTGCCAAAACAAGTGAAACTCACAAGAACATTGTAACTATGGTGACCACTACCTTGTTTACCTCTGGCTATAAAATAAAGGCTCAGCTTGCCTCTGGATCCCTCTCTGTGGCCTCAGCCAGACACAGGAAGATCCACCTAGACCCAGCTTATTCTGTCTGTCTGTCATTTCTTCATCCTTCACCGCCCTCACTCAGGCTTGCGGAACCCTTGGCTGAGCTAGCTCGACACCGTAAGAGAAGAGAGAAAATGGAAGTATATAAAATGCTCACAAAAGCCGAGAAGGCAGAAAAAGAGTGGAAGACAAAACACACACACATACAAACAAACAAACAAACAAACAAAAAACAGAAACAAAGAAAAGGTCCATGAATGAAAATAGTAACAAAGATGCCAGACATTAATCCAACCATATCAATAATTACTTTAAATGTGAATGGTCTAAATGCACCAATTAAAAGACAGAGACTATCAAATGGGGCGGGGGAAAAAGCAAGACCCAACTATATATTGTCTAAAAGAAACCCATTTGAAATATAAAGGCAAAGAAAGACATAAGGTGAAGGGATGCTAAAAAAATATGCCATACTAACATTAATCAATAGAAAAGTGAAGTAGCTGTATGAATTTTAGAGCAGACTTCAGAGCAAGGAAATATATCAGAGATAAAGCGAAGCATCACAAAACGATACAGGGGCCAGATTTCCAAAAAGACCTAACAACCCTCAATGTGTATACTCTTAACAACAAAGCCACAAAAATGTGAGGCAAAGATAGAACCTGCAAAGAGAAACAGATGAATCTACTATTGCAGTTTGAGACTTCAACACCCCTCCATCAGTCACTGACAGACCCGGCTAGCAGAAAATCCGTGAGGACAGAGCTGAATTAAACAGTACCATCAATCAACCTGATCTAATTGACATTTATAGATTACGATATCCAACAATAGCAGATTACACATTCTTCTCATGCTCACATGAAATATTCACCAAGAAAGACCACATTCTGGCCCAGAAAGCATACAAATTTAAAAGAATCAATAGCACTGTGTTACTCAGTCATCATGTTACCCTAAATTACAGACACTATTAACCTGAATTATGTACTGACCTCAATCTGAATGTATCTTATGAGGCATGGAAAATGAAGCAGAGTTCATCTTTAAGCACAAAATTAGACAATTTACTGTGAATTAATGTTCCGAGGCATGGAAAATGAAGCAGAGTTCATCTTTAAACAAGCACAAAATTAGACAATTTACTGTGAATTAATGTTCTGCTTCCTACTTAAAAAATCCCTGAGCTTGTCAATCTAAAGAAATAGTAGCATATTCACTTGAAATTATTTTTTAAAATATTTTTATTGACTTTTAGAAGGAGAGGAGCCTGCAACTGAGGTACATGTCTGAAATAAAAAAAATATATACTTTTTTTTTTCAAAAGACCAAAACCTACTAAAAGTTTGATTGCAGTATCTCTGATGATGTAATTATAGTGGTTTTTATGTCCTTTTTTGCTAATCTTCATTTTGACCAGGAAAGGCAGAGCAAAAAAGGTTAGGGTTCATGGGCTACATATAGTAATATATGATGTTTTGACTTAAATTTGGCTAGATTTTATTTTTTTTAATTTGTCTCACAAGGCATCCGAACAGAACAGGATCAAGGAACTATATAAAACAGGGACCTACGCACATTCTGGCTCTTGGACTCCAAATGCAGGAGTGATTACCCTCGTCTCTCACTTGGCGTTTTAGGAGGATCTGAGGGGAATTCTGAGCTCTGCCAAAAAATCCTGGCTGCTCATCAAAGGCAGCCACAGTGCAGAACGACTTAACATCCATTTGTACTGAAACACGGCAACCCCATTTTAGAATTTAAGCCATTCTTTTTAAAAATATAATCATTATTTTTTTTAATCCTCACCTGAGGATATTTTCCCACTGATTTTTAGAGAGAGTGGAAGAGAGAGGGAAAGACAGAGAGAAATATCGATGTGAGAGGGATACATCAATTGGTTGCCTCCTGCACACACCCCAACCAGGGCCCAGGCCGGGGAGGAGCCTGCAACCAAGATACATGCCCTTGACCAGAATCGAACCTGGGACCCTTCTGTCTGCAGGCCAATGCTCTATCCGCTGAGCCAAACCAGCTAGGGCTTTAAGCCATTAAAAAAAAATTCTTTGTACTAATATTTCCTTGAGAACAATCTCAGGATTTTAAAATTTGAAATAAAATGCTGAGAGAAACCACTTATTTGCGGTATATCATCACATAATAGAATCAAGATCTAAGTACTTACGCTAATGCGTGTGCAACCATCCATGACCCAGACACTCCAAAACAACCTTACAATATGAGTTTTCCAGAGAAGTTGTTTTAGGCTTCTGTAATGCTATCCTTTGGCACAAGTACGACAAATAGTAGTTTAACTACACAAATGTGGAAAGCCTAGACTTGGGGCCATAATTTTTCAAGTCCCCAACACCAGAGAAAGCAAACACACACACCCCTATTAACTCCCAGAAGGGTGTAACAAGGAAAATGTGGGTGAAAGCTGTTAAATTGTGCATGGTCCAACAACAAGCAAAACATTTCATTAATTATCTAATTCCAGCACTGGAGCAAAAATGATTTATCTTCCTATTTGTTACTGTTTATTGTTTACTTACCTTAAGCTGTGCTTGGCAGGTGCGACGATGAAGAGGTGAAAGAGGGCTGTCCAATTAGGCCAATTATGGTTTAAACTCATATTCATGTCAACTCTACTGAGGCTCTGGGCGTGGGACCCGCCTGACCTTTCTTCTCAGCCACAGCTACTTCTAGTAACATCTTGTTCTTCCACCATGTTAAGTCTATTTACATTTAAGACATGGGAGATCTCTCAGGGGACAGAGGTGTACCAGTTAGTCTACACTCTGCTGTTTCTTGTTTTCAAGCTAAAGCTGTATTTATTAAAACGTAATATAAAGATGCATTAAGACAGTCACGATTACCTGTCTTCAGCTACGTCTAAAATCTGACCATCGTGTGTGCAGATGTTATTTTTAAAATTCTTTTATTTTCCCTTCAATGATTAATATTTGGTTTTGTCAAATGTGCTTAAACTTCCATAATAGCCTATTCTTCTTCTGTTTACTAGTTTTCTTTTTTAATCTCCCAAACACTTGAAACATATTTTAAGGTCTCTTTCACAGTGGTCTGTTTTCTCTAATTATTAGGTTCAAATTCTCCTTTTGGTTGATCCTTGGCCCTGAAGTCTCCTTCATGAAGGTTTACTTTCTGCCAAGACTTAGAACTGTTAACTGTGGTTTCACCGTCAGTGGGAACTGGCTGCCCTGAGAAGTACGGAAGGTTCTAGGTTATGGATGCTCAGGGCAGGTTCACATTAGCTTCTGCAGGGGGTTGGGTATGGGGAGGGCATATGGGCTTTATCTGTTCCAGATTAATCTGTTTCCCAATTTTTAAGTAATTTTAGATTTAGAGAAAAGCTTCAAAAATAACGCAGTGTTTCTGTATGCCTTTTACATAGCTTCCCCTAACATTAAAGTCCTGGCAGCCACAACAAAGTTAACAAAAGCAATAAATTAACCTTTGCATAAACTGTTAACTACACCATAGACTTTATTTGGATTTCACCATTTCCCACTGATTACCTTTTTGGTGGTTGTTTCAGGGTCCTATCCAGGTGTCCACGTTTCATTTCGTGAGTTTCCACTGCGTTTCAGATCCTTTGCTTCGGTCAGTCTCAATGGGCTCTTACTTTCTTGGGTCTCATAAACAACTCCAGGTTTATGCTATTGCCTGTCCAGATGGTACTGACTTTGCTCCTCTCATTTATCATTCTAGACTGGAGCGTCCTAAGCTTTGAATTCCAAAATGAATCTGCTCTAAGTGGAAGCATCGATTTGATTAGTGGGTGATGGAGGGGGTAGCACCAGCCAACATGAGTGAAAACAATTCTGCAAATTCCACACACTGAATTGACGACTTTCAACTTAATTGCTCGGAAAATGAAAGTCCTCGGGGTTCCCACCAGGGACACAGAAATTAGAGAACCAAAAAAAGCCTCTCATTCAACCTTCACACGTTACAAATGAGAAAACTATCACGTTGCAAAGGAAATAAACAGAAAATATCACTTGACACCAATTCATAGCATTTATTGACAGTTCCGTTTAAAATGCTAGGAAAGCCGTATAAATTGTAAACATGGAAACCAAACACTTGCATAAATTACTTCAAAAACTCTACAGCACATTAGAAAAACAGTGCAGCTAATTGAAGGGTAGAAACGTAACTGACAAATAGAGGGAGGATTCGATTACTAAAATCATACACCTATGCCAAAATTTAAGTGCCAGCAAACCATGATTGTCAAGTTCAAGTTGCAGGACTGATGCCACGGGTGGCCTCCACTTACTCTGTGTATTTTCATACATTAACACTCACGATCTTGGAATGAGAGTGCAGGAAGAGTCAGAATACCAGGGGGCACCCAGGGCAGCTCTACGAAGCGACCTTTCCTGGAAGGGGAAGGCCAGCCATAGCTCCATGCTCCCTATGATGCTCTGGAGGAAAGCAAAGCTGTCTACTCCCCTTTTCTGAAATGAGCCCTCTGTGCTTACAGCAACCGAGTTCATTGGTGGAGCTTGTCCCTCCAGCACCCACTTCCTTCCCCACATCTGTAGGAGAGTATAGGGGGTCTGTCTTGAACTTGGCCCTGTACTATTCCTGACTTGCACACTTGAGAGTCCAGTTATGAAGGCATGAAATCTGGTGGGCACGATGCTCCAAATTCTCGAGAATGGTTCCACAGAATCATGGACCACAAGACCCAGATTGCTTACATCTTTACCTGGCCCTTCACCCTTTCTTTTCGAAGTGGCCCCAGAGCAGAAAAACCTGGGAGAAGGAAAAGCCAGCCACCTGCATAATTACCTACCCTGTGGGAAACCAATCTGCACCAGAGCTCCTCAGATTCAGACATGCATTCCTTCTCACTTGCTCGCCGGGTTCCTAACTTTGTTTCATGTTTCCAAGGGCATTTAAATGTTCTTTTCCTAAATGGCAACGCTGCTGCATGTTCTGAAGATAAACTCTCAAGTGTACCATTACACACATGAGCACGGAATTAGGATCGTACCGTGAGGTCTCGGTTTTCAAGTCTTTTTAATACAAAGGAGTCCTCATTTAAACACTGAAAATCACCTCCAAAAAATATCAAAAGACACCTGAAATGTACACAGTCCTCGCTCACTACGTATTAAGTGTCAGCCTATCAAATTTTATGGGTATGTTATAGCAGCTGCTCATAGAAACCCCTCTCACCTGTTACAAGAATATCTGTTAATGTGTGGGATTAAATGTAAAAATGAAGTTCAAGTTACCATCCCATAAAAATGGGTTTTGTGATCAATGGTCTGTTGGCAGGTATAGAAGTGGACTTTCTTGTGCTCCTGTCTGGGATAAATGTGGACTAGCAGGCTATGGAGGCTGGCTTTGGAGACTTGCTCTGGAGGTAGAAATGAAATGGCTAAAACTCAAATAGAGCTGAAGTTGGTGCGGTAGTTAAGACTGGAGGCCCCCATCCCCCTGCCCAGAACCTTAACCAGCTTTCCTTCCAACCAACAAACTCATTCATGTCTAAGAATCTAGTATGAAGGGGACAAAGAAGTTTATTTAATGATTAACTGGTGAGTTACTGCAAATGCCAATCAGTGTCCGAGTGATTGGTTTGGTCACTGGAGCACTAAGAGGCTGTGCAATGCAGTCAGTGCTGACCCTGTCCACAGGTAATGGAGGCTCGTAACGCACAGAAGTACCTGGTTCCGCCCAAAGCCTTCAGGCAGACCTTCGCCTGCGCTTTGCACTACAGGCCTCTTGCCCTGAAAAGTCTGGTTGGCAAAAAACCCACTTAACCTGCTGCTCAAAAGCCACATGCCACCAAAATAAAAAATACTCTGAAATTAAATAACATTTGGAGAAAAACATGTAGGTGCCTGTCAAGAAGTCAAATGTATGTATTTATAACCCACCACGCTTCACAAAGGATTGAATGTGGCCCAATGGCTGGCCATTGAGATCTGCGCCAAGCAGTGGAGCAGATGGTGGAACTCTTACCACTACTTCCATGCTTGACCCTGGGTCCTTCGGCAGACACTGGCGTGCTCCCCTCCTCTCCAGAATGGATCTCTTCTTCAGGGGACCTTCTTCCCAGGCCTGATCACTTTCTCATTGTATTACTCCAAGCATGTACTCACAACACCACTTCCTCCTCTTACAAAACTCCCTGGACAGTGAGGTGAGGAATTTTGTCCCTGTATTGTAGCAGATCAAGTTCATTTTCAATGACAGCTTCACCCACTTTTTTCCATCGTTCCCCAGGCCCACTCTCGGCTTCCCCATGCCACCTCACCCCTTCCCTGGGCAGCTCCTCTGTCTTCACTCAGGTAGCTGCTGAAGTTGACTTCTCCCCAAGATCCTGTTTCCAAATACGCAACTTTCATTTCTTCTGCTGAGTTCCTAATGCACTTGTGCACCCTCAACAAACATTAATGATGTCTAAACCTTGTTATTTATGTGTATCTTCCATCTTTTAAACCTGTATGTGTTATCCGGCTTAGATTCTAAGACCTCAGAAGGCAGAGTTCATGTTCGACAGGAAATCAGTAGCATGAAAAATGTGTAGTAAATGCTGTTTAAAAGTTAATGGAGAAGGAAGTGAATTAAAGCAAAACAAGAGAGAGGAAAAGAGTCGCACGAGGCCTTTAGTTGTGCTCTGGATACCTCCATGTGAGCTCACTCACTGGTAGGTCACAGCACATCCGATCATCCATCCCAGCATAATCATACAGGTAACATTTTACATTTCACAGTTCTCTGTGCTTCCTTCTCAAGGGACACTTGCACACATGATCACATCTGATTCTCACAATGAGAAATTCTAGGAGGTGGGCAAGGGAGGTCTGTCCTTGTTTGGCTGATGGGGAGAATGAGGCTCAGAAAAGGGACCTGACACAGAGAATTCAATGATCATTTCTCCAAACAGTATTCTCTAAAATATTGACTCAAATTTATATAAATAGGGGGAAAGGAGAGACATACATTTTAACTTTTCATTTGAGAATGCTTCGAATAAATGAACTCCAAAGCGCACGGGATGGACACGAGGACCTTCCTTTTAAGCAGGTCACATTGTCTGAGTGACTGCAGACCCATTTGGGTGTGGTGCTCCCCGAGATAGCTAGTTGGTCCTGAGTCTGGGGCTTGGTAAAACTTCTGTGGCAGCTGTTTAGAGAAAACAAGGGCAAACTGGGCGAGCTTCACAACCAACACCGAGTGCTGGTGATCTCACCGGCCTGTCCACACCACTCCACACGCCCCCCATCCCCCACCCCCAGGTATTCGATGTCCTCTTTGGTCTTAACATCGGTTTAAAAGTGTGTCAGTTCTAAGAACAATCCAGGTCGAATCCTTGCATGCTAGTTTGAAAGGCATCATAATCGCCATTGCAGTCCCCTTTAAAACAGGGGCCCATTTCTTCAATGTCCAAGGGAGGTAACCATTTTTAGTGCTGACCACACCGGGCAGAAGGGGAGAAGAGGGGCCTGCATTTGGTCCACTTGCTGCCACACGACTGGACTTCACTGTAAGGTGTCCGTAATACAATTCTGCTGGGATGTCTGACATTCTTAATAACGTATTCAGGAAACCTGGTATTTCTCAGTGACACACACAGAGATCCCTCCACTCTGAGTATTAACCCAAGACCGAGGGTCAGAAATCAAAACCAGAAGGAGGCCTTCTCTCCCACGCTCCTGGAGCTTGTGAGGGCTGCCTGGAAAGGAGTCCCTCTCCTTAACATCCTTGAGACTTCCTCTCCAGCCCCGCTCTCGGAGAAGCACACAGATAAAGAGGGGCTGCTCCGCACTGTGCGGCTGAGGGCAGGCTTAACGCGGTGCTGAACGTGGCTCTGGAGCAACGATTACACTGCGGAAGCCTACGTGAGCTGGCTCAGGGCTCGCAAGGTGTGACACGGGTTTTGGTTAGAGCCCCCAATTCTGCCTGTTCATCTGCTGTTTAAAGTATTAGCTGATCTAATAAAAAAGAACTCATAGTAGCCATGTGCTATCTATTTTTCTTCTGAGCTTCACTCAGGTACCAGAAAACGAAACAGCCCTTGTTATTCCAGTCCTCACTTTAATTTTGGGGGGGGGGGAGGGAATGGTGACTTCCAGGGTAAACCTCAAGGGAGATGACACCCACCCTCTATTGGGCCCACAGCACACGGACGCCTTCAGCAGTCACTCAGCAGGGTCATGCACATGAAATCAGACGTTAGGAGCAGCCCTCTCCCTTCCTTTGTTCCCAAAGCTCTTCTTCACGTTTCCAGATTCAGAGGCTGGCGAGAACTCAGCTTCATTTCCAGGTCTTGAACACACAGAGAATGTGATCACTAGGAACATACTCACGAATCGCTACTTGGTGGCCCCAGGAATGCTTAAACATCATTTTTGCTTATGGACCGTTTCTCATTCAAACATAATTTGTGAGCAATTCATCAGCAAAGCGCCAGGATCGGTTAGGACCTCCTGAGAGCCTCAGTCCGTAGGACTGGCCTCGAAGGGGACATGTGCTGAAGTGGGATGCTCTCGGGAGTCCCATGTGCCCAATTAAAAACCAGCAAATACAATGAAGAATGTAAATCTAAACTCTGATATGTATTTTGAATAACCAAATAAATATTTAGCTTTCCCCCCTCTTTTGGGAGTGTTTTTTTGTTTTTGTTTTTTCCTTTCTAGAACAAAATGAAGCCTTCAACACATCCTTCCATTGGAAAAGCCAAAGTTGCATTTCACAGACATAAAGGGGGAGGGCGCTTGGAGCGGTAGCACCAGAAGTAGACGGGGAAATGCAGATGATGGCTTCGTGTGGAATCATCAGGCTCTACGTCTATCATTTGGTTTCTCACTAGTAGCTTTTTAAATCCCCGAACAGTCTTAGTACCCTTGTTGTTAATATTACTAGTAAAACAAGTTCCTAAGGAGAAAAAGAGGGAAATAAGCTGTTAATAAAATGTCTTCAAATCTCTTTTCTCAGAAAACAAAGCAGCAGGTTCACCGTACAAACCAGCCTCAAACACGTCTCCGCACGGAAATGCCGGACTCCTTTTGGCCCTATACATTCTATACATTTCCATCTTTTGCCTTGAAAAAGGGAACTAACTAAGAAACTCCGTTAGCTTAGGTTTGTGGTCTATCTTTCGTGAAGTGCTGCTGGCTTTTGGCCAAAAGTCCAGAAATCTCGACTGAACCCAAATGGTCACAACATTGCCAACTTGGTAAAAGCCTCGAGAGCTGTCACGTGACCTATGGCATCTGGCATCTTCTCAGATTGCAACCTGTTCCCTTCCGCGGCCCCCAGCCCTGGAGGCGCTGGTCTCTTCCTGACATCCCTTAAGCCGGTTTCCTTTGAGTCTTGCTTCCACGGGAAGCGGATACTTGGCAAATGCAAGGCGAGGCCCATCAGCTGTGGAAGTTGTGCACGGCGGTCTGTTTTTGGGAGAGCCGCAGGAGCTCCTCACGGATGGCCTTGATGAGCGACGTGGAGGAGTGGCCGGGCTGGAGGTCCTCCGTGGAGCTGGTGGCATAGGCCAGCCCGGCGCCCTGCAGCCCCCTGTGCGGGGCGCTCCCGGGAGGAGCGGAGGGCTCCCTGCCCGAAGTCCTTGGCACCTGGAACAGCGGTGAAGAATACTCCTGATGTCCGAGCATGTGTGTCTGAAAAAACACAGCAGATGGTGCTGTACTTCCCACGTGGGAACAGGAGGGAAAATCAAATTCAAACTGGCGGTGGGCACGCTCCCAGGACTTCCTTCTCCCATCCCCCAGCCAACAACTCAGCCCTCCGACAGGACACCCTGGGGCTGGGATGGAGAGTAATAACTGTGGCAAAATTGCTCAGGGGAGAGCAGTGCAATCAAGAAACCTTTGAACTTGAACTTAACAGGTGCCTCATAATGCTTAATGGTAGAAAGGCTAAACCGGTCAGCCAAGTCTCTGTGCCTGTGTGTGTGGAGGCGAGTGGCCGCTGGGAGCAGAGGAAGGGACCCAGGGGGCTGGGAAGGAAGGGAGGCTGGAGCACCCCATGGAGGGGAAAGGTCAGATGAGGACACCTGAGAGTTGGAAGAGATAAGCTGGTACTGGCAGAGGGACTAACAAAAAGAACAAGTGCCTTTGTCCTGGGCCTGGAGCCCAGGGACCACGTATTAAACATCACAAAATCACTTTCCGTTTTATCTGTCTGTGTGCCTGTCGCGCACTCTGTAGAGCCTTTCCTTTAAAAAGTTATCCGCACTGAAACATAAGAGTTTTGCTTATATTCCCATAATACAGGGTGGGGCAAAAGTAGATTTACAGTTGTTCGTATAGAAAACAATATAATAATTAAAAAACAGTAACACAAGAATAAACTCTGTTTCATGTACTGACAACTGTAAACCTACTTTTGCCCCACCCTGTATAATGGGGTATTCATTTGACAAGAATTATTATACATTTCAGTGATTTCTTTTTCACATTTTTTCAGTGAAAAATCTCTCTTTGCATAACACGAGTTCTAAATCCATAGTCTCACCTAAGCTAAGAGTAAGCTATTCGCCGGTGAACATGGCATGCAAGCCCTAGACCCGTGGTCGGCAAACTGCGGCTTGCGAGCCACATGCGGCTCTTTGGCCCTTTGAGTGCGGCTCTTCCTAAGCCTTAGGAGTACCCTAATTAAGTTAATAACAATGTACGTACCTATATAGTTTAAGTTTAAAAAATTTGGCTCTCAAAAGTAATTTCAATCGTTGTACTGTTGATATTTGGCTCTGTTGACTAATGAGTTTGCCGACCATTGCCCTAGACTGTTCCTGCATTTCACTTTCCCAAACAGTGACAGGAAGGCACTCTAAGGGGCCACTGGATTGGCAAAGCCAACACCTAATAAAATCAAGTTGCCACAATGAAGGCAAAAAAAAAAGATGTCAGCAAATATAAAGCAAATACCTGAGAATTATAACAATGTATCTTTTAGGGAAAAATTATATTCTACCATCAATTTCCTTTCATTAAGTAAAAGCATCCCGTCATTAAAGGAAGTTAGTGTATTTGCTAAAAAGACACATGAATGCAGTGAAAGCTGTGGCATATGATGAGGATAAACAAAAAGTATTATTTTGATTTGTATTTTCAAATTCATACATTTATCCCCCATGGATATAAACTGCTTGAGAGAAAAAGCAAAGGAAAGCATTTGTAAGTAGAAATCACCTGTGTCTGTACTGACCCTGTGCTATAAAGGAGCGACCAGAGTGATGAGAAACCTCTGAAATGCACCCTGTGCCTTGAAAGGCTTGGTTATGGCAAAAGCATAGATTCCTGGTGTGCATCATGGGAATGATGTTACTAAACCCACAATAAAGTGCAAGCAGTGAGCAAGGAGGTACGTAAGGTCAAGAAAATTTATATAGTGAGCACACCCAAGACCAAGTCCAGAGTTTAGTCACCTACAGGTTCAAAGTCACTACTTAGCCCTAACCAGTTTGGCTCAGTGGATAGAGCATCGGCCTGTGGACTCAAGGATCCCAGGTTCGATTCCGGTCAAGGGCATGTACCTTGGTTGCGGCCACATCCCCAGTGGGGAGTGTGCAGGAGGCAGCTGATCGATGTTTCTCTCTCATCGATGTTTCTAACTCTCTATCCCTCTCCCTTCCTCTCTGTAAAAAATCAATAAAATATATATTTTTTTAAAAAGTCACTACTTAAAACTCAAAATCATGCCCTGGCCAGAGTGGCTCGGGTGGCTGGGTATCGCCCCATGCACCGAAAGGTTCAATTCTCGGCCAGGGCACATGCCTGGGTTCCGGGCTTAATCCACAGTGGGCATTGATGTTTCTCTTTCTCCCTCCCTCTCCCTTCCTCTCCCTAAAAATCAATAAAAACACATTTTTTAAAAAAGTCAAAATCACAGAGACAGAAAGTAGAATGGTGATTGCCTAGAGCTGGGGAGAGGGACAAATGGGAAGTTCGTGTTTAATGAGGATAGAGTTTCCGTTTCACAAGATGAAAAAGGCTTTGGAGATGGATGTGGTGATGGCTGCATTCCAGTAGGAATGTCTTGAAAACCAATGAACTGTACATTTAAAGTGGTTAAGATGGTAAACTGTGTGTATTTCACCACAATAAAAAACTGAAAAAACGTTTTTAAAAAACTGCTACTTCGGTCTTCTGTCCAGATTTTCAGTAGTGAACATTGCTTTTATCATTTCTAAAAGGTTATTTTTTAAAAAATCATGACTCCAAGCCTAAAATCTGCCTCAAGAAAAATTATATACTTTCCACAAACTCAATGCCAATACTCCCCCACTCTGGGTCAGAGGGAATCCACCATCTAAACACTGCAAGCAAAAATACACTCAAGGGGAAAAGGTGAGGGAGGTTAACACTTCTACTCATGTAGGTTTTTAAAAGGGATCCCCGACGCAGAAGCAGCTGAATTACGTGGTTGTGTCTGAATTCTCAGTGGTGACCCGGACGCCAGATACTCACGGCCTCTCTCCGGCCCACTTCGTCCTCCCCGTATGAAGGCCAGCCTGGTCCCCCGCACTGGCCGCCTCTGCTTGGTGGGACCTCCACCGGCTGAGCTCCGATCCTGCTCGCAAGCCCCACCTGGGTCAGGTGCTGAATCTGGGAGCCTGAGGAACAGCATGGAACAGCCTGGTCAACACCGGCAGAAAGCAAGGCTGCCCAGTACGGCCCTTTGGTTGTGACCACCACGCTCCCTTAGGGACAGGAATATGAGCACCGTTCAAACATGGAACCAATTCTATCTCCAGAGAATGACATTTCCTAAGAAAACCAGACCCTGAGCTTCTTGGTTCACGGGCTTTTACCTCCTTTTAATAGAGCGACTGATAGTGACGGTCTTATTTTCCTGGCTAGACATCAAAGGACTGGGAATGAAGGGTATAGACAGCTCTTCCATTCAATTCTGCAGAGGTTACGAATAAGGACGATCTTATTTATTCGGAAGAAAGGACTGAAAGGTTTAGGAGCCATAAAGAAGCTGAAACCTGGCTCCTGCTAGCTCGTGGCTTTGAGACTCGCAAGGAGCTGAAAAGACAAGATTTTTAAACGGCAGGGTGCATATTTGTTTGAATTCAGAATGTTAAAGTACATTTTCATTATATTCACGTTTAAAATGTTAAAGCCACCCACCCAGCCTCACTGGAGAGGTATCCGGATGGCACAGCCGGGAAGTTCTCTGAGCTCGAGCTCCTGCTCCTGCACTTACACATGCTGTGCTGGGGCCTCGTGTGGCTAGAAGACCAGGCTTTAACCAACACTATTTTTCTCCCCCAACAACTTCTGGCATACGGAAGTATCCCTATTCTGCAGATTGAGGGAGGGGGAAAGGTGGTCTTTAAGCACTGCGGAATGAAACTACTTATTTCCGAATGCCCCTGGGGCCATCGAATTCACCTGTGATGCTCAGACCAGTCCTACAACGGTTCAGAGATTTCACAGAGGTAAGGGAGGGGCCCGCTCCATCTTCAAGTCTCCTCCTTGAATTGTCTAATTAACAGCCTCCCTTAATCAAATACATTACAAAAAAAACCCCAAAACAACAACAACAACAAAAAACTCCTTCACGGTTTCATTGGGAGAGACAATAAAAACTAAAAGCTGAAGGTCAGAAAAAAATTCCAGGTTCCCGTGAGAACAATATACTCTACAGGCTCACTTGCCAGTTACTGAAGATTCATAACAGTATTAAAGTAATTGGGGCTATCAGTTCTGTTTGCCCAACAGACATCGTTTGAGCGAATCTTGCAAAGAACACAAATGCAGCAGTGTTCTCCATCACTTACAGAGATTCAGACAACGGCACAGGGAGACAAGAATACTTTTGTGTTAATACTGTGATGGTAGTTGATATTAGAGACATGTTATGTATCTTGCTCTGTCCACTTAACACACAACACAGCTTCCCCTGTGACTCAGCATGGGGCATCACACCCGGCAAGCTGGGCTTGCATTCCAGCCCAGTCCCGGAAAACCCGAGACCTTGGGCACCCGGTTATCACTCCTGCTGAGCCTCAATGCCTCACCTCTCAACTGGGATAAAAAGAAATCTACCTCATGGTGTTATTTCGAGAATTAAAAGACATAAAGAAGGTCAAGAACCAAATACATAGGAGGCAACCCGGAAATCTTAAATTCTCTTTTTCTGGCTCTTTCTGAGCTCTTCATTTTAAATAGCTACACAATTCGCTCACCGATGCCCTTATTATGGGGTATTTAGGGAGCTCACAATTTTTTGCTATTATGAATAATACTCTGATAAATACCTTTTGCACATATAGTTTTTTTCCAGTAGTTTGGATTTCTTTGTGGAGGGGGAAAGAGCCTAGATTCCCAGAAGTGGAATTACCAAATCAAAAATTCATTAAGTCATTGCCAAGCTGTTTTCCAAAAGTTTAATGATTTACACGAACACCAGAAATAATGTAATAGTGTTTTTCATATGTTTACCTTTATATGGTACACACGCATTTTTTGTGTGCATTTTCTTCCTGTACTTTGACCATTTATCTTTCCTACCCTTTGAGGTTTGTCCATTTATCAATTTACATGAGCCATCCTCTATAATAAAAATACCTCTTGATCATATCTGCTGTACATCTTCCCTAGGTACTATTATCCTTCTGTTTTTGGTAATTTTGAGACCTATATACTGTATATATCCTATATAATAAAAGGCTAATATAGATCGAACGGTGTAACACTGGAACCACCAAACAACTGGTCGCTATGACGTGTGCTGACCACCAGGGGGGCGTGTATGGAACATGGCGAGTGTCGACCATGGCGGTATGGTGGAGCAGGTGAGCGGGGGGCACCAGACCAAGGCAGGGCACCGGTCACTGTCATCGGGTGAGCCTCTGGTGGTTACTGAAAATTCTTTGCTCCCGCGTGCCTCAGTCCTGCCTGGCGCTCACACCTGCTGCCAGCGCCGGCCTCGCTCACATCCGCAGTTGGTGCCGGTCCCGATCACTCAGCACCATCAGCAGGCGTGAGCGGTGGCTGCTGGCCCTGATCGCCCCTGAGGGCTTCTCCACCTCCCCCTGCTCCTGAGGGGCGATCGGGGCAGCAGCCACCGCTTGCACCCACTGATGGTGCCAGCCCCAATCACACCCACTGCTGGTGCCGGCCCCAATCGCTCTGTGCCATCAATGGGTGGGAGTGGTGGCAGTAGGAGCAGGGCTGCTGGCAGACAGGGGACTGGGGGCCGTGACGGGGGTGAGGAGGATGGGTCGAGACCCGCCCCTGTGCCTACCACAGCCTCGCGGCCCACAGTTCCTTTCAAGGTGCAGGAATTCGTGCACTGGGCCCCTAGTATCTGTATGTTTGACAATTTTATATAATCAGAAAAGGAACTCTTCTAGTATATCTTAAAATTTTTCCATTATAATTTTTTACACAATTTAATCTATTATTATAAATTATTAGAAAGTAACTTCCTCTTCAAATGTTTCATACATATAATTTCTATATTCTTGTAGATTAAAAATAAATATGTCTGAATTTTGTTTGAAATCTGTGCAACAATTAATGGAAGAAACAAGACTAATTGCAAAGCACAGTACCAGACTGTGAAACCCTGTAGAATGTCAAGATATGTTACTTATTTAGTTGACAGAGAGACAGAAAATGCAAAATACAAGAACTGCCCAGGAGACCTTGAATAATTACCCACAATTATTGCAAATGTGTAACTGACCTAAAACCAGCTTATTGATGACGTTACAAAGGTGTATATTCCCCAGAAAGTTAGAAAACAGCAGAATAAATAATTTAACATGTAATGGCCCCGCTTATTGAAGCTTCAGTCTTCAAAAAGGAGGGCAAAGAAATGAACAGGAAATACAGAGTGACTATGAGCCCCCGTAATAAAACGCAGTACGACGAGTGGGAACTTGGACGGTTTTGCAGAGTATTCAGAGCTAGCTGTACAAGGACCAGAAAGAGCTCAGCATTGTCGACTACACAGATGCTTCAGGAACACTGAACAGCATTCATAATATCAACTGGTCATGAGATGATGTTTTTTGACATAATCCAGGAATCTGGCCCTGGCCGGTGTGGCTCAGTTGATTGGGCATCATCCCGTGCACCGAAAGGTCACCTGTTCGATTTCTGGTCAGGGCACGTGCCCAGGTTATGGGGTTGATCCCTTGTGGGGGGGTGTGGGAGGCAGCAAATCATGCTTTGCTCTTGCATCGATATTTCTCTCCCTCTCCCTTCCTCTCTTTAAAAATCAATAAAATATATATATTTAAAAACAGTAATCTGTAATTCTGGGGTACAAGACTGGATCTCAGGTGAACTGGTGGGGCAAACTAGCTAGTGCCATGTAGGAGTCAGCCAGCCTTGTTGAGTGCTGCTTGCCAACTACCAGCAGTGGCTCTTACTGTGAGTCTGCAGGGGGTCTCTTAGCTGGTCCACTTCCCTTGACCGATTAGGGAAACCAAGTGTAAGGTATAGCAGCATTTGAAAATCTGGGGACTTATAAGCTCTTAGGACAAATCCCTCAAGTGTCGAGCATTTCCTGAACTTAATGAGAATTTGTTCTAGATTCAAATATTAACACAAAACTCCTAGGAGACTTTAAGACAAATGTGTTTTTTTTTTTCTTTTCTTCTCAACTCACTTTCTGAAAATACGTTTATACTTTTTCTAGATGTAATTATTGAGGACACTTAATGCAGAAAATATTATTTTTTCTTGCTTTACAAAAATTCTGAGGGCCCCTCATTCTGTTGAATTATGACACGCATCTCAAAAACTAAGTGATAGATTGTTAAAGTACAGGTGGTCAGAGCTCTTTTTCTAAAAAATGAAAGTGAATATATGAAACGATATTTAATCTCTAAATTTTAATTGTGGTCTAAGAAATATATCCTGTATCCTTAAAGATACTAAATATAACATTTTATAAGTAAACCAAATTATGCATAATGTTTCTCAAATCAACTAATTATAATTTTGGAATTTTTTTAAACAAAAAATTTAACAAAATTTATTTTCTCTCTGGCTTCAAAATTTCCAGAAATTGGACACTTTGAACTATGGTCTTTTAAAAACATAAGCTGAGAGCTTTTATTTCCTGTGTAAAGATATTCTGGTATAAATTTTTATTTGAATTTCAACAGGTAATTAAAGGAAACCTAAATACTAAAAGTGAAGAAAAGCCATGTGCAAACACTTAAAAGTCTGATAATAAATTAGAAGACCACTTTAGAAAAAGTAACCTTTCACTGCTGAATTATCAAGTAAAGGGTTGCACTGGTTACCCACATACAAATGACACTAAAATAGTTCTTTTAATGAGGGCTGGAAAGAGGGGCAGAAAGGATGAAAACAGTTCCACATGGCCACCAGCTTCCTCCAGGCCACTTCTCTGGCAACAGGGAAGAGACAGCAGGACTCAGGCACAAAGGCAGAAAAAAATGACAAGAAAAATTTAAAAGGCAAAATGATCATATTAACAAAGGTAGAAGGGATAAAGGAAGGGAGGTGAGACTCAAGGAGCAATCAGCAGTTGTCCAAATAAAACAAAAATCTACTCCCAATCACTGTCCAGCAACTTTTAATTTCTTAAAAGCTGAAAAAGTGCTCTCTCTAAAACAAATACCTGTTTTAATGCCATACAAGTGCTCAGAAATAGATCCTGCAGTTTAACCCTGAGAATTTTGAACTGTTTTCCCTGGAAGAAGTGTGTTGTGAATTCCATGCAAAGGGACACTTTTGAGATGCTGATTCAGGAAAGACGCACTAGACATCAGTGATGGGATCTCAGCGCCCCCTCTTTCCCAACTCCTCTGCCCTACATCTCACCAGGATCACAGGGAAAGCAGCTCTTACCAGTGGAAGAGGCTGCTGAGCACTGGGGCGCTGATTCCCTGGGAAGTCTAGAATGAACTCTACCAGAATTTAGCCAGAAAACAAGCCTCCTCTTACTTCAGAAATGCAAGCTAAATAGCCACATGTACCTGTGGTGCCCCCGACAGGCCGGGGCCGGGCCACCGATGGCATGTCCTCCGAGTAGATCCCTCGGGCAACAAACGGGGCTTCAGACGATGCCTGTGGCTGCTGGGGCTCGGGAGGCACCAGCTCCGAAGACTGCAGCACACCAGGGCCAAAACCGGGTCTGCAGGCAAAGCACACCAAGCATCAGGACCACACTGTACCCTGGCTCTGGTATTTGACCAGCTACACCGTCATCCCTACGGAAAAATTAGACCTATTTGTCTCCTGCCTTATTGCCCATCTCCTCTCCAGAGGGCAGAGACTTGTCCTATGTGCTCACTGCCGGGTCTCCAGCCCTCAGATCAGTGCCCAGAACAAGCAGATGCTTGAAAGGTATCTGTCAGATGATGGACGGAGAGATGCTTCTGGCTTACAGATCAAGAGAAGGTGCAGCCACGTTCTAGAGCCTGCTAAGCTCCAGCATCTGAGTACACTGGTCATCTATTTGGGCTACACGTTAGCATAACCCGAGGGGCTTTTAAAGGCCCCGGTGCCCATGTGGTACCCCTGGCCAATTAAAACAGAATCTATAGACATGGGGCCCAGACACTGGGTGCTTTTAAAGCTCCATTGATGATCATGAGGTTCGTCAAGGCTGAAAAGCAGTGCTTGACAGCAATGGTTATTAAATTTACGTCCTCGGGATTCCTTTACACTCATAAAAAGTAGTGAGGGTTCCACTTTTATTTATGTGCATTATATCTATAGATATTTATTATATTTGAAATTAAAACAGAAAATTTTAAATACTTATATTTAAAATTCATTTAAAATATTAAACATATTACATGTTAACATTTTTCTTTAAATTAACAATATTTTCAAAAAATTTAGAGGAGTTTTACATCTTTTTCAAATTTCCTTAATAGAAGGCATATGGATTCTCATTTACTTTCTATTCAATCACTTGCCACAAATATGTAGTTGGAAAAGGGAGGGATATTTTAATAGCCTCTTCAGAAAATACTCAGAATAATATTTCAGCTGTTCTTCGATACCACATCAATACGCAAAAGTTCCCTTAAGGGGTAGTGGCAATGTGGCATCTGAATATCAGTGAACTCCTCACATTCTGTTACATGAAAACCCACTGGTCTGCCCTGGCCATTTTTTCTCAGGGATTAGAGTGCTGGCCCGTGGACCGAAGGGTCGTGGGTTCGATTCCCGGTAAAGGGCACATACCTGGGTTGCAGGTTCAATCCCTGGCCCTGGTCTGGGCGCGTGCAGGAAGCAACCAATCGATGTGTCTCTCTTACATGGATGTATGTCTCTCTCTCTCTCTCTCTCTCTCTCTCTCTCTCTCTCTCTCCCTCTCCCTCTTCCCTTCCCTCCACTCTCTCTAAAAAAAAATATTAATGGAAAAAATATCCTCAGGTGAGGATTAAAAAAACAAACAAACAAAAAATCCCACTGGTCTATGTTGTACTTGGAATGGACCAATGCATGATTTTATGACACTGGTCACTGGGAAAAAATTAGTTTACTGTGTCCTGCAGACTTTCTAGATAGGGATACATTTCATTTTACAATATGAAAAAATTCACATTCATTAGTATCACCATCAAGCTCATCAGCAGAGTCTTTAAGTACTAGGACGCTGTCAAGTTCACGGTGGCAGACAAAAGTTTCTAAAACTTTCACTTTCACTTGAAAACTCCATTTTGTCACTGGCAACAGATGCTGTCAGTTGTTTTTCTTGAAGTGACTGGCCCACATCGTTCATTTTCGAGACGGTGTCTGCCAAACACCCAGGTCTGAGTACTGATGTCTGCCAGTTGTTGGTTCAAGTTAAAACATGGAGCAGTTAGTTCAGTTCTCAACTCAAACACCTGGACACGTGTTTTTCCTTCAAAATTCCCTGTTCAGCGAAGTGCTTTATACGTGTCTCCTCTTTTGTCACACCGACTATTAAAGACTCCAGGGTTTAGGTTTAATAAAATTAATCACTTTTGCTACACCATCAAGGACATACTAACACAAAGTCGGCATTTTTAAAGAAATGGCTGTTGTCCAGTGGTGAAGAATAGGACGACAACACGAACAATTTGGTGCCACTGCCTTGATTCACACTAACGCCCCAGCATTTGCACCCACCACTGCTTCTGCACCTCAGTGCAAATGTTAACACAACGAAAATGTCAAATAACACCTTAGTGTCGTCATGAAAATGGTTTTGGCCTCAAGATGCCCCTGAAAGAGTCGCAAGAACCCTCCAGGGGTCTCAGAATCCCAGTTGAGATCCACTCCTCTAAAGAAATTCAAGAATTAAAAAAGTGAGAGTCTGAGTACAAGTCTTTGCAAATAACAGCCAACCGGTAATTAATAGATCAAACCAGTTCTATGAGACTGACTTGCACTTATTCCTCAGTGTTATTTCTGGAGTGTATCTCTGAAACTGAAACCCAGCCCGTGTATGTTACTCTGTTCAAATAATGGCTGCTGTTTCACAATGACCTCTGAGGTCTCTGACCCTGCAGATCTAAGAGCTTAAAATAAGGCGAGATCTGTACATGGGAGCTCACATGACCTCGTTACAATCTCTGGCCCATCCACCCATGAACGATCTCTTCCCCTTTAGTTGTTTCTACTTGACCCAGTCAGCCAGCCCCCTTCCTCCTACATGTGCAGCCCTTTTCTCGTAAATTGTGTGCTCAGGTAGTTCAGTGTGATCCAAGTACTGTGGATTCCTTTCCCTTGGGTGACCATGAAGTTTATCATCCAAACCAGAAGAGTTTGGAGAGTGAGAGTTATTAATAATTAGGCTGGACAACAGGTCTAAACTGGAACTGAACTGGGTGAGCCAGATCACATGGTCCTGTCACATTAACTACTTCCCTGGATCACCTGAGCACCACATGCTCTCTCTGCCTGTGTTGTTTTGCGACCACAAAGCAGTGCCCAGGTTGGGGAGTAAGGTTGGGGAGAAATAAAACAAGCTCCTCTGAAAATGAGGAAGAATAGAGAAAACTAAAAAAATAAATAAATAAAGAGTAAGCAGATACAGCATTCCCACTTCTGTGTGACTCCTGGCCGTTGAAGGCGAGTTGGGTATAATTTCTGAGATTATTTTTCTGCAATTCCTTCTTTGTAATAAATCAACTGTCCACTCATGTGTAGGTCTGTTTATAGGCTTTCTAGTCTACTCCATAGCTCTATTCCATTGCTCTGTTTGTCTAGCTTTAAGGCGAAACCACACTGTCTTAATTACTTGACAGTAATTTATAACATTTAGAATACTCTTAACATCTTATCCTTCTTTCTTAGAGCACTCCGGCTCTTCTTGGTTTTATGTCTTCTCAGACAAGTGGGCCTTACCTCCATATTAAGCATACTTACTTTAAAATCTGTGTTCAATATCTCCAATATCTGGATCCCCTCTAATTCCTTTTCGGTTGTCTGTTTCTCTTTATTACTTTTTAAATCATATTTTCTTTTCTTCTCATATGCTTGGTTTTGTGTGTCTGTTTGTGTGTTTGATCTCATGCAAAACTATAATGATAATGGGAGGTCTAACATGGTATTATCTTCCTGTAAAAGAGAACTAATATTTGTTTCTGCCAGGACGCTGGATGGGGCAAACAATGTCTGGTCCCCTCAGTCCAATCAGGGAGCGAGTCCTGCCGAGCTGAGTTTTAGTTCTTGTAGGGACCCCTGTGCTTACCGTTAACCCTTCCTCCAAGGTTAACCCCTAAGGGTCTGAACTCAAACCTTTGGGTGTTTACAAGGGCCTCCCTTCCTGGTCCTCCCAGCCTCATGAGTCTGCCAAAAGCTTTGCTCAGCTTCTCAGATGCCTCCTCCAAAACCAGCAGGTGGCCCCGGGAGAGAGCGGCTCAAAAGGCAGGGCTACCTCTCTGGATTTCCTAGATGTTGGCCCATGCTTCCCTGCCTGTTAGCTCTCTGGCTTTTGTATTTTTATTTTAAGACTTTGTCTAACTTTTCCAGTTGTTTTCAGAAAATTATCTAGTCACTCATTACTGGAGGCAGAACTTAAATTCTAACTTTTTTCTCCTCTTCTGATTAGATCAAGAGAATACAAGTCAGAATTTTGTATCTGCTTATATTAGCTAAAAAAACAAAACAAAACGAGTTTACAGAATTAAATTTAAAAGAAAAACAGCCTATGCGAGGAAATCCTAATACATTTTCTCCTGAAAACTTTACCTTGGCAATGGGCCTGATGGGGGTGTCATTCCATAGTCGTCATATCTCTGGAAGAAAGTCAAGAGAAGATGAAGATTAATAGTCAATACTTATTAGGAGGTGAGAACAGCAAACTTACAAATTTAGGTTTATGGGATCAACTTTCAAGAGAATTATTTTCTCATAAAAAGTGAGCATGCTATTGGGGCACGATGCCATCGTGTACTGCCAGCAGTTTCAGTTTGGGGAACTGGCTACCAGACTTGAAAAAAAAAATACACAACTAATTTCTAGACCTTTCTTGTTTTAGTAAAAATGTAAATAATAGGATTTCTGTGCCTGCTCTTCTGTATAGGCTTATTCTCTACAAACCTGTCTGTCTCTTCTGTTAAAAAGGCAGGCCGAAAAACAAACAAAAAAAGACAGGCCAGAGTGGCCACATTTTTAAAAAATATGTTTTTATTGGTTTTTTTTAGAGAGGAAAGGAGAGGGAAACATCAGCACCTGGCTCCTGCATGCCCCTACTGGAGATCCATCAAACCGGTGACCTCTCCAACATGGGACGACACTCAACCAACTGAGCCACATGGGCCAGGGCCAGAGTGGCCACATCTATTACAAGTGACTATCAACCTCGGCAATGATAGTCACGTGATCTAATGAGTGCCCAGTAGCAACTCAAATACACTTAAACTAAACTCTGCAAATGCTGTAAAAAGAGAAAGACTATAAAGAACTAGAATTTAGACTCTTCAAGATGAAATGAGCACTTTCAATTTTCTGGTTTCCAGGAGGCCCGGCCATACCCCTTGCTCCTAAATTCCATGAGATGCCCCATATCCTTCAGTCAACTCTATTTCCTTGAGCTAATGTGAGCTAACCGAGTGCTCTTTGACTAAAACAACATGGCACCCACTATGTGGCATTCCTCAAGAAATCAACACATCCCAACCCTAACATACACAAGACTCCTGTGTCAGCATTTCTTTTCAACGACTGTGAATCAAAATGTTGGAATCGGGTGTTTTAGCAGAACAGTAACTCTGGACAGAGTCTACCCAAGTCCAGTCCGTTTGAACCAATTAGCTGTTCAGGATCAGGAGCTCCAAGTTTGGTTACTAAGTCAGCCTTGTTTCTGGACCTTCTCTAATATTAGACCTTATTTTTAAAGCTCCCATTTACTGAATTAGTATTTTGTAGTAATCACTGTACAAGCACTAACTCAGGCCTGCAGAAACACTAAAAAAGTGCTCACTGCCTCTGTTTTGCAGATGACACCAACTCACAGAGAAGTTAAGACATTTCCTCCAAATTTGTCTTTCTGACGCCAAAGTCCACCCTTTTAACTATAGTACTCACTGCCCATGGTTCCCAAACCAAACTTTCCCCCGTAATTCCACTTCTATTGTCTTGGAAATGTAGATGCTCTGGAGTCAGACAGACTGGCCAAGCTGCTCAACTTCTCCAGGCCTATTCCCTTATGCCACGAAGGACCGAATGAGCTCTACCCCTTACAGATTCCGAAGGCATTATTAGACAGGAAACTGCGCCCAAACACTTCACCTTCTCACCTTTTCCGCTCCCATCCCCTTCGCAGAAAGAGAGAGATTAGAACAGTGATGGCGAACCTTTTGAGCTCGGTGTGTCAGCATTTTGAAAAACCCTAACTTAACTCTGGTGCCGTGTCACATATAGAAATTTTTTGATATTTGCAACCATAGTAAAACAAAGACTTACATTTTTGATATTTATTTTATATATTTAAATGCCATTTAACAAAGAAAAATCAACCAAAAAAATGAGTTCGCGTGTCATAGGTTCGCCATCACTGGATTAGAATGTTGTGGAGTTCCCCAACTGAGATAAAATAGGCCAAAGATGAGTGTGGAAGAAGGGAGGAACACAGGGCAAAGGAGCTTCAATTCTTTTTCTAAATAATTAAAGGGAAATCTGAGACTGGGAAGTGGCCCTTATGCTTTCAATACAGTTCAGTTTTTTAAACATATTCACATAGCCCTCACCAGTTTGGCTCAGTAGACAGAGCATCAGCTTGCAGACTAAATGATCCCAGGTTCGATTCCGGTCAAGGGCACATGCCTGCGTTGCAGTCTCGATCCCCAGTAAGGGGAGTGCAGGAGGCAGCCGATCAATGATTCTCTTTCATCATTGATGTTTCTAACTCTCTCCCTCTCCCTTCTTCTCTGAAATCAATTAAAATATATTTTAAAAAACATATTCACATACAAAATAAAACAAAAAAGAGCAAGGCTTAGCAGTCTACCTATCAGGATTTCGAGAGGTCTAATAAGAGATAAACTAAAAGAAAAACAGCCGTGCTAGGCATTTCAATTCTATCGTAGTCAGAAAAGGTTATTTTTCTAGAGACTGCTTGCCCCAGTGAAAAGGTTCAAAAAAAATAATGCTGCAGACAGGAAGTCGGGCATTTACTTTAAATGGGTCACTCCTAGATAAAAGTTTGGAGGTCAAAATAAAATTTTAAGGTTTTGATCACCTATGTCATCACAAATCCTATTTTAAGGCAACCCTTCTTTTATTGTTGTTTTTACAAAATATGTTTTTTATTGATTTTAGAGAGAAAGGAAGGGAGAGGGAGAGAGAGGAAAAAAAAACATAAATGAGAGAGAGAAAAACATCGATTGGCTGCCTCCTGCATGTCCCCTACTGGGGATGGAGCCTGCACCCTGGGCATGTGCCCTGACCAGGAATCAAACCAGCGATCTCTTGGTGCATGGGACGATGCTCAACCAACTGAGCCACATTGGTCGGGGGGCATCCCTTCTTTTGAATAACAGTCCTACAGAGAAAGAGAGGTAAGTCAAATGGTTGATGGAGTCTGGGATGAGTCTGCTTGTAAATGTTGTAGCTCAGGGATCCATACCTGCTACTTAAATGACTAGTCCAGGGAGGTTAATTCTACTAAGAAAAGCAGAAGTACCACCTATCAAGTAGTCTGACTCATCAATGTATAACTAACACCTTTATGCTGGCAAAATGTCAGCAGATGGTAAAGAAAGGCTCATGGGGTAACTGAAGGCACCTTGAAACCACATTCTTGCAGCTTTTAGTGTAGTCAGAAGAAGCAAATAAAGGGTGATCAGGTTCCCCCTGGCAACAAACAATACTTTTATGACCAATTTATAAACATGTTGAAATTATATTAGATATGCACAGGTACAACCAATGATCCTCATTTTCCACTACATTCAGCTGCTATCATCCTCATCCGAATACAAAAGGATAACATCCACGATGAGAAAACCATTCAGCGGCAGCATTTACAGAAATATTGCGATGAGCCCTGGCCGGTTTGGCTCAGTGGATACAGCATCGGCCTGCGGACTGAAGAGTCCCAGGTTCAATTCTGGCCAAGGGCACATGCCCAGGTTGCCGGCTCGATCCCCAGTGTGGGGCGTGCAGGAGGCAGCCCATCAATGATTCTCTCTCATCACTGATGTTTCTATCTCTCTCTCCCTCTCCCTTCTTCTCTAAAGTCAATAAAAATATATTTAAAAGAAAGAATTACTCAGTAAACTGAGCATTGGAATTCAACTGAACAACAACAACAAAAATATTGTGATGGGTCTGAATTCTTTGAGATAGTAGATTAAGGCCTTATCTGATCATTGTCCAATAAGATACAAAGAACAAAGGTGAATTTACCCACATTCTAGCAAATCGAAGTGATTTGCTTAGAAAAGACCTTCCTGTCTTAATGGCAAAGAAGACAAAAAGGAAACAGCACACAACTCTGGAGCCAATAAACAAATGAACAAACACAAGTTTCAAAAAATGAACATACAGAAAAGTCAGAGAATCCAGACTGGATGAAAATATAATAGATTTTCCACAACTAATTTGAACTATAAAAATGGCAGATCTTTTTTTTTTTTTTTTAATCCTCACCCAAGGATATGTTTGATTTTAGAGAGTGGAAGGGAGGGAGAGAGAAACATTGATGTGAGAGAGAAATATCAATCGGTTGCCTCCCATGTGCACCCCAACCGGGGCTCAAACCCGCAACCTCTTTGATGTGCGGGATGATGCTCCAATCAAGCGATCCACTGGGCTGGGCGGCAATTTTTTTTTTTTTATGTTCAACAATGAGGTGATAAAACATCAACATGACCTGCAATGAGATACCATAGACGGTGGAAATAATTTGAGGACCAAAATAATGTCATTGTGACTCTACGAAATCAACTAGAAGGGAAAAGAATAGCATGGCTTAACATCAAATTAACGTCCCAGAGAAAAGACCCATGATGACCATAATGAAGGCAGAAAGGCAGAGAAAAAATGGACAGGTTGGCTAAAGCAATTAGAAATAAAGCGGTAGCTAGAGAAGACAAAGATGGGCCAGCAAAGATAAATGTTATCCTTGATGCCAATAGAGTAAGAACATTATTTCAGAAATACAGTTTTCCCGAATTGAATGAAAGAGCAGAATCTGAAGATAAATTGAACATTGGTTATTCAGGAGGAAAATGGAAACTTATTAAGTGCCAAGAGCTCTTCACAGAACAATTCAGGAAGCACTGAGAGCAGATAGAAGTGACATGTAGAGGCCAACAGGAAACTAGTTGTCAGAAAGTGAGAACTCAAAACACTAATTCCAAAGAACATGTGCACCCGTTTTCCTTGCAGCGTTATTGACAATAGCCAAGCTATGGGAGCAACTCAAGTGCCCATCAATAAACAAATGGATTTAAAAAAAATGAAAAAAAGCTGTGGTACATATAGACAATGGAATATCACTTCACCATAAAAAAGAATGAAATCTTACCATTTACAAAGCATAGAAGGACCCCGAGAGTATTATGCTAAGTGAAGTAAGTCAGAGAAGGACAAATACCATATGATTTCACTTACATGTGGAATCCAAAGAATATAAACAAAGAAAACAGAAACAGACTCGCTGATAGAGAACAGACTGACGGTTGCCAGAGAGGAGGGGGCTGGGAAAACGGTGAAGGGATTGAGAAGTACAGATTGGCAGTTACAAACTGGGCATGGGGAAGTGAAGTACAGCATAGGAACATAGTTAATAATATTACGATAACGATGGATGGTGCCACTTGGGTACTGAAAACATAAGGGGGAACACTTTGTAAAGTATTTGATTGTCTAACACTATGCTGTACAACTGAAACTATTACAAAATAATATTGAATGTAAACTGTAATTGAAAAAAATTAATAAGAAAAAGAGCCGAAACCGGTTTGGCTCAGTGGATAGAGCATCGGCCTGCGGACTGAAAGGTCCCAGGTTCAATTCCGGTCAAGGGCATGTACCTGGGTTGCGGGCACATCCCCAGTAGGGGATGTGCAGGAGGCAGCTGATCGATGTTTCTCTCTCATCGATGTTTCTAACTCTCTATCTCTCTCCCTTCCTCTCTGTAAAAAATCAATTAAAAAAAAAAAAAAGAGGTGGTGGCATTTGAAAAAAAGAAAAAAGAAAGTGAGAACTCAAGACTAAGTTAAGAGGCTCCCGATAGGTCTTCCTCTTCCTTCCAAGACCTCCTGACGCCAGAGGATCCACCCTGTGTTAGCCTCTCGGCTCGCTGGCCTGACCAACACCAATAAACAGTATTGTACTTGTCAGCCACCACCCCGGCACCCTCCACTCAAGACCAGAGGCCAGGAGACAATTGGAAGTTCTTGCAATGATCCTGGTGAGAGATGACGGTGGCTCCAACTGGTGTCTAGTGCAGTGGAAGGAATTTGAGAGGAAGAATCTACAGAGCTCCAGACTGGAGAATTCTAGAAGGTCCATACTTACGCTGCACGGGTTGTTGGCCATCTGAGCTGGGCTGTAGAAGGAGCCCCATTGGGCGGCTCGTCTCTCTTCCCGGGAAGGGGTGCTGCTCACGGGCAGGCCAGCTGGGACCCCGGGGCCTGCAGCAGCGTTGGTGGGCTGGCTGCTGGGGGCCACGAGGGCGAAAGCGTCGTCCAGGAGGGAGTGCATGGTCTGGCGGGCTTCTTCAATGGACGGCTGGGGCGGGATGTACTGCGGGGCCGGGAAGGGCAGGCCTGGGTACCGGCCCAGCTCAGCAGAAGACGGCGTCTGTACGTCTGCCGGGAGGTCGGGGTCAGACTACAGCGGGGACACAGCAAAGGAGAAAGAGTCAGACAAAAGCCTCAGTGGTGACCTGAAAACAAAACTCTATCGAGGGCCAAAATGGAATTGAACAGTCTTCATTGACATGAGGAAACGGTTTCTCATAAGAACTTTTAAGATGACAGCCGTGGAAAGTATGTTAGCTCTCATGGGTGCAAAGAGTTTGCATCAGGAATTAAGGAAGAAAATGAAAATATTCAATAATCATTTGTCCGGCAAAACTCCTGCAACTGTCTGAAATGCGTTTCAGTACCTGGAAGTATACACTTTTATTGAAAGCCTCTAAGTAACCAAAATTGATGTCTCAATCGACTTACTGAAATAGCTGGTCAACTTTCCAAAGAGGTAGAAACCAAAAACTAAAGCGGTCTACTGACTATTAGCAATAGAAAAAACAGCCTTACACACCCCCAAAAGAGTTAAAAGTCATCACCATAATATAACTGTGTGTATAAATAATTTTCATACCTATTATGACAATGGTTTCAACAGTAAATAGTAATTATTTATTCAGAAACTGTCTTTAAAATGGAGGTATCGCCCTAGCCAGTTTGGCTCGGTGGATAGAGCATTGGCCTGCAGACTGAAGGGTCCCAGGTTTGAGTCCAGTTAAGGACACATGCCCAGGTTGTGGGCTCAGCCCCCAATGAGGGGCATGCAGGAGGCAGCTGATCAGTGATTCTCTCTCATCATTGATGTCTCTCTCTCTCTCTCTCTCTCTCTCCCTCTCCCTCTCTCTCTTTCTCCCTCTCCTTCTCTGAAATCAATAAAAAATTTTTTAAATGGAGGTATCGCTGGATAACATAAGTCATCAAGAAAGGTTTAAATTAGCCCTGGCTGGTGTGCTCAGTGGTTAGAGCGTCAGCACAAGCACTGAAGAGTCTCAATTCCCAGTCAAGGACATGCAATGCACCTGGGCTGCAGGTTCGATCCCCGGCCCTGGTTGGGGTACGTGTAGGAGGCAACCAATCTATGTGTCTCCCTCTCTTCCTCTCCCCCTTCTCTTCTTCCCTCCTTTCCATTCTCTCTAAAACTCAATGGGAAAAATATCCTCAGATGAGGATTAACCAAAAAAAAAAAGAAAGAAAGTTTTAAATTCTCTTGTCTACGAGGCGGGGGTATAAGTCACAATTGTGTGTTTTTAAAATCTTACTTTCTGATACTGCCTTATGAGCAAAATGTTGTCATAAACACTCAGATAACCTGTAAGAGACAAAGCAGGGATCCAATGGAGAAAGAGGCCCTTCAGGTCCCAGTGGCTCCGGACACCCATACAGCACAGTCACTCCAACTGACCCTGAAGAAAGAAGAGGGTCCGCAGGACGGGCTGGTGACCATGCCCTCCGTGAGGACGCGTGGACGCCTTCTACCCAGAAGGCTTTGCTCGCCCTGCTGGCCCTCGGTTTCGCTCGGCTGGCTGGGTCACCCTACTGAAGGGCCGAGGAAGACGTGTGTATCTGTTTGGATCGGCAAGTCACTCACAGAAAGAAACTTATTCCATAGACACATCCTTACTCAGCCAACCGTCTGGAAAACGCTTCCTAATGATGATGGCCTATCCAACGGATGATCAGGTAGTACTGACACCAGCGTCACACACTTCAGGGAAGCTGCTGCTTAACTCCAGAGAGAAAACCAGGCCACAAACTGGCAAATCCACAAACAGCCCACAGACCTGCAGTAGTGTAGTCATATAAAGGGTGAGCCACATGGAGAGTTTAAAAACATACTTAACCACTATTTCATAAATCTGAAAATTTCCTATTAAACCTGATTTCTGGATTCTCTTGTCAGAATGAGGCTCGGAGTGCCCTCCTCAGATGGGGCAGGTGGCCCTGTAGGTCTGTTTTTCTAATACTGCAATGACCCAGTAAAGGTTCCACTAACGGACATGTGTCATCAAGGAATGCCAAGTAAGGATTCTGGGCCTCAAAGTGGGTCTCTGGTTTATGACGTAGCATTGAATAAACTGTGTTCCTTTCTTTTGAGGTGAGCAAAAGGTCCATATGCAAGCCCTTCCCCCATTGTTGGTTTTTCTTTTGTTGTTGTTAATCCTCACCTGAGGATATTTTTCCATTGATTTTTTAGAGAGAGTGGAAGGGAAAGGGGAAAGATAGAGACACACATTGATTGGTTGCCTCCCACACGTGACCTGACCAGGGCCGGGGATCAAGCCTGCAACTGAGGTACGTGCCCTTGCTGGGAATCGAACCTGGGACCCTTCAGTCCCCAGGACGACGCTCCATCCACTGAGCCAAACCGGCTAGGGCTACTAGTTTATCATGAGGCGCAGACAGGAAAGCCTGTGGTCAGTAGTGTGCCACCAAGTAACGGTTCCTGGTGGAGAAATGGAAACGCGTGTCTGGAAACACGTCCTACTGGTAAGTAAGAGGGTCTTTCTAAAGACACAGGGGATGTTCCTGGTGGTGGTTCCAGTCGCTGACACGGGAGCTGTATCACAAGGAAGCAAGCAGGGTGGCCACCTACACAGCCACAAGCCTAGACTGAGATTGCACTGGGGGAAAACCTTATACGCACTCGAGGGGAGTCCAGGGCTATAGCCACTGCCAATCTCACCATTAGTGCTCATAATTTCAGAGAAGCTTTAACACTTATTGCAAGAGAGAGATGTTCTGAAGGTGGGAGGGAAGGTTTCCTCGGATCCCCACTGGCCCTAGGAATCCTGCTAAGAAGGCCCAGAGCCACACAACCAGGAGGTCAGAGCCTCCTGGATTTCTTCCTGTTGCCTCGTCATTTCACGGCTAGCCTAGCAGAACTTGCAGGCCAAGACAGGGCGTCTTCATGTTCTAGATCTCAACATCGAGCAGTGTTTCACCGATAGATGGAACTCAATAAAGAATGCAAAACCGTCATCTACAAAAGTATACTTCTCCAAGACCCCCGAGTTGGAATTTGAATTCCATCCTCCTGAATCGCAGTCTGATCATTCAGTCATACTGTTTGTTTGTTCATCATTCATTCTTCAGAAAAATATACGGACCTTTTTACTTTTAATCACCACAAACCATGTATTCTGGTGCCTATTTTGCAATCCTCTGTGGGTTTTCTGAGAGGGATCATACACCCTGGTTGGCCCAGGACAATCTCGGTCATGCCTGTTGTCCCAGTATAATAATTAATAGTGTTCCTTTCTCTCTCACAAGTGTCCGGTTTGAATGATAAATTATATCAGGGGTTGACAGACTTTTTCTGCGAAGGGCCAGACACTAAGTATTTTAGGCTTTGTGCATCATACCGTTTCTGCTGCACCTAACAGGACTCTGCCCTTGTAGCAAGAGCCACAGATAACATGCAAATGAATGGGCACGGCTATGTTCCAATAAAACAGCGGTTCTCAACCTGTGGGTCGCGACCCCTTTGGGGGTCAAACGACCTTTTCACAGGGGTCGCCTAAGACCATCGGAAAACACATATATAATTCATATTGTTTTTGTGATTAATCACTGTGCTTTAATTATGTTCAATTTGTAACAATGAAAATACATCCTGCATATCAGATATTTACATTACGATTCATAACAGTAGCAAAATTACAGTTATGAAGTAGCAACAAAAATAATTTTATGGTTGGGGGTCACCACAACATGAGAAACTGTATTAAAGGGTCGAGGCCTTAGGAAGGTTGAGAACCACTGCAATAAAACTTTATTCACAAAAACAGGCAGCTGGCTGGATTTGGCCTGAGGGCCATAGTTTGCCTAGTCCTGATTATAAACATAACCTTAGTTATAAGGAATCCAGGAATATATTTTTCACTTAAGGTGATATTTTGAGGGGAAAAGTGTAAAAATCAAGATAATTAAAAAACACGTATGTCAAGTATACTGCCCAAGAGAAGGCGAGTTCCAAGAAAGGCGTTGTCTTTGAAAATATGTGTTTCAGAATTTTTAGGGAGAGAATAGGAAGGAAGCCCATCTGAGGAAGATTTTCATTTCAGGGAATTTGAAAAACAGCCATTGGAGAAGAGCAGCTGACTGAAGTGGCTCTCCAAGGAAGGGCACTCTCTGCTAAAAGTAAAAAAATTTTTAAAAAACCACACACACACGCCAAAAAAGCAAGGAGAAAAAGGTCATGGACGACGAAGGCAAGATGGAGAGAGCAAGGGAAGACGGTCATTCCCCACACCAAACGTGGAGGCATTGGGTGAGGGCACTCCCATGAGGCCTGAAGGCTCCCCTGCAAGTTCCCCTGAGAGGACCAGCCCCCTGGTTAGGGAAGTGGAGGGGGGAGAAGCAAGTTCCTCCTCTGTTGGTTAGTGTCACCGCATGACTCTCCAGGGAGCCAAGGGGACTGCCCTCCCCAAAACCAAACCAAACAGCAGAGATGCCCAGACAACCGCCTGACCAACAGCAGCAGCACAAGAACGCCACCTACTGTAAGACCTGTGAGCGACGTTCCCCGGCCAACGGAATTCATTCACTGCACGCAGAGAGGACTGACTCCATTCTGTCTACTGAGAGCAAAGCATTCTAATTTGCTGACCTGCCAACTCCCTGGAGCCACTCCAGCCCTCAGCAGCAGGGATGAGGGGCACGGTCCGTCTTGAGGGACTAGAGATACATAAACTCCCAAGGAAAGCCTGGCTCTCTCAGATGGCCAAGATTCCATTACAGGTGGCCCCAGGGCCGGCATGGTGCCTGGCACATTTATATAATTATATTTAGTGCCTGGCAGTGTTAGTTTTTAGTGTAATTTAGGAGACAAAATATAAAACTCAAATACATGGCTGGCTGCATCAGCCCTATGTAAAGGGATCGTGTACCCCCTTCTCCAAGGATGTGCTTACTACTCATTTCCCTCCTCACAGGGATGGCCGTGTACGTTAGCCTCTGGGGGGAGAGGGGCTGGTGCAACAAGACAGGGCTACACCCTGGCGTGAGGCTGCAGGCGTCCCACCTCGCGCTCCCTGTCCTGGTGCCTTTGTTCTGTATTTCTCGTGGCTCCTTGCGGAGGCTGGCCCTCTCTTCCTACTCAATGGGGTCTGTGTGTGTGTCTTAATGCTACCCGTGTCTGCCTTTTACATTTCAAGCAACTCTGTGCCCTTTCTGCTTCAAAGAAATGTTTAATGGTTCTCAACCTTCTGGCCCGTTAAATACAGTTCCTCATGTTGTGACCCAACCATAAAATTATTTTCGTTGCTACTTCATAACTGTAATGTTGCTACTGTTATGAATCGTAATGTAAATATCTGATATGCAGGATGGTCTTAGGCGACCCCTGTGAAAGGGTCATTCGACCGCCAAAGGGGTCTCGACCCACAGGTTGAGAACCGCTGGTTTAAACCCATATTTCTTAGCTTCCAGTAAGCGCTTTCTCCCATTAAAATTATATATATACTAGAGGACCAGTGCACAAAATTTGTGCACAGGTAGGGTCCCTAGTGGCTGCTGGCTGCTGGCTGGGGCCTCCCTTCCCTGGCTGCCAGCTGGGGCCTTCCTTCATTCTGCGCCGCCCCCTGGTGGTCAACGCACGTCATAGCGAGCGATCCAACTCCCAGTTGGTTGAATTCCTGAGGGGACACTTTGCATATTAGGTGCGCATTTAT